TGGTATCCGCAGCAAGTCTTGAGATAAATATGGATTTTTTCCGCGGTATTACATTTAAATTTTTACTACCTGACTTACAGCTATTTGGAAGCGGATCCTGAGAAGGTTTTCGCTTACCATGCTCAGTAACAACTTTCTCTGTATTCTCAGCAGACGAGACCTTCTCTCCGTGTGGACAAGGGGAATACAGATTGATGAGGTCAATATTGGGTGGAGGCATTCTTTTTAAATAAGAAGCAGTGGTCTCATCATCAGACGGATGTTTACGTTTATTGGAAGGTTTTGGATTCTCTTCCTGGTCATTTAAGCATTTAAATGATTGAAAAAATGTTTCATACTGCCTAAATTTATTTGTAAGGGTTTCAAGCTCACGGCCAATCTCCTTGAAATTATTGCGCGCCTGCTTAAAAACTTTAAATAAATCAATTTCAGTTGGTCTGCATTTAATGCAAGACCAGCGCAAGCCCTTACTGTCAAGAATAGAATCCAAAATTCTTCTTGTCAGTCCAGCACATTTCAGATGGGCAAGCCCGTCACACAGCCAGCAAGAAACAAAGCGTTCGGACTCGCCTTTAACAGAGCAATTCGGGAAATTACAGGTTATAATGATAATAAGCAGCAATAAGAAATTTAAATAAAAATATAAAAAAAATTAAGTAATAAAAGTAGAAAGAGAAATGACAAAAATATTTATAACAAAATAAATGAAATATAAGTTATCAAAGGCAACAACCAATGTAACGAGCAGTTTGAGATGCACTGTGATACCCGAAAAGTAAGAAACTCGCAAACAGCTGTGAACAAAGACGGAAAACGAATAAAAAGAAGAAATAAATTTAGATAAGCATTAATTAAGAATTTCACACTAATTTCGTCAAGTAATTATAACGCAGCTCTTCTGGATCCCGCCGTTTTCACTAACTGCTGGATGACGGCACCCTGATTGTGTTTTGTTGCCAGCTCAGAAAACAGATCAGGGTGCCCTGCCAGCTGACAAGCGAGAGGGCAAGAAAAGTGATTCTAATCAATTTATCTATGACGATAGAGCGTAAGCGTACGTGTAAAGTTTGTTTGCACGTACGCTTTATTGTTCAGTCGTTGTTAAGCCAGCAACGAATTAACATCACGCAAGAGTATAGCGCAGAAGCAAATTTGACCTGCGAATAATATTTTATATTATTCTAAATGCCCTTGGTGCCATGCAATGCCTTTTATGTTCCAAGTCGTTTAAWGATAATAGGGAATATATCCTTAAAAGACATTTTGTTAATTTTCATTATACTATTAATTATTTAGATGAAACAGAACGAAAATGTCTTTTCAAAGAAAAAAAAAATTTTTTTTCTTAATTTTAATTTCAATTTCTCGCTGGGCTACCTTTTTTCGTGCTCACCAACACAGTGACAGATCCTCTCATACCGACCACTGGTTTTGACGTGTAGTAATTGCTCTCTCACTTCCGGTGAGAGAGGAGTTAAACATCTCTTTATCTCTGGTTTGCACAATTGTGCTAAGAAATGCCGACCGCTGCCATACAATCATACAAACAATTTGTATATATATCTCTTCAATGAGAGTAAAAAGGGCATTGCTCTCTTTAACGAGCTCTCAATTGCTAAAAAAAAATACCTACGTTCGTACATACATACATACATACAAGTCAAAGTATTAGGGTGGACCTATATACCAACATAAGTTCCTAACACGTATATATATGAAAAAAGTACGTATTTCATAATTAAACTAACAAATTAAATTTACAATCACAAAAACTTTAACATATAATATAACAAAATGTTAATAACGAAAAAAATCAAAATACACCTGCAGGAGCTACACGCTCACAACAGGTTGTTAAATATAATATATTTCACAAAGTGACTGCACGCTCAAAACAGGTTGTTAAATATAATATATTTCACAAAGTGACTGCACTAGATTTGTCTCATCACCGATTCATGAAAACTTTGAAAGCCAAAACCTTAACAATTTTTGGACTCGCCTCCAAGCGAGTGGCGTCATGAATAAAAGATCCTGTCGATTCAGATACACAAATTCTTAAATCATCGGATTATGCAATATATGAAAACTACTTAAATCAATATGAAGAAACAAAAGCCATGATCTCCGATCAATAAAAGCTAATAAAAGCAATTGCACCTACTCTACATTCGAGGGTAGAGCTGCCACAAATTCAAAAATATCAAGAGGCAAGTTCAGGAATCCCCCTCGAAGTGACCGCATGTGGCCCAGAAACATTTAATGGAGGTTATGAAGAATGGCCGTCCTTCCGGGATATGTTTACAGTCGTTTACATCAACAGAACTATCAAGAGCACAAAAATTGTATCACTTCCGATATAAAACAAAGTCAAACAGTTTGCATTAAATGATGACAATTTCAATTTGGCTTGGGAAGCTCTAAAAGCTAGATAGGAAAACGAAAGAATACTGGTCGATAAACACGACACTATTTAACTTGCCTAAAATCAAGAATGAAACAAGTGAAGATTTTGTAACACTACAATCCACTGTTTCTAATTGTTTGTCGATTCTGTCGACACAAAATATTCCCACAGACAGCTGGTACCCAATTCTGGTAAACATTTGCACCGCCGCATTACCAAAAAAGTGCCCAACGTGGCAACAAATGAAAGATTTTCTTACCACCCAATATGAAATCGCGGAAAGATTAGAACAAAAAATTATCAGAACTAAAAACATTAAAGACGACCAAAATAGAAGCTTGAATAGACCCCAAGCTAGAAGCACAAACAAACCAAACAGAATTTTTAACAATACACAATCGTTCACATCCGAATAAAGAAAACATACGTCATGCGAACTATGCATAAGAGGGCATGTGGTTAAAACTTGCGAGAAGTTTAAAGAATTTAATGTCAATGAAAGGAACAACTTTGTCAAATCAAAAAGACTCTGCACAAACTGCTTGTCACACTCATACAATTTTAATAATTGCAAAGGCAAATTTAGCTGCTTATATTGTCAGAAAAGACACAATTCAATGCTTCATTACAGCAGATATCTCATCTCACCCCAAATAAGCGCTTATACAAAAAGAAACATGGGTTTAATTGGAAAAACAAATACCGAAACCCAAAATTTGAAAAATTGCCAAGAGACACCATGCTGCTCAAAGCCACAAAAATCTCAAACGCTGCAAAGCGAAATACAAAGTGGACGAGTTACAGAACTAGTCACCACCATACCAACTCAAGTTGAGTATAAAAAAACACATACCGTAATTGACAATTAAGTTTCAAAATTTAAGGAAACTTTCCCGTATAACAAACAAAACTGCAGAAGATCAGTTTTGTGAAGACTTCTCTAAAGCCACAATTACTAGATCAAATATTGACAGCTACGTCGACCGACTGTCACTAGAGCCACTATTTTTCAATACTCCACAAATTGGTATAAATAACAAAGTCAGATTTACCTCTGACAGTCCATATATTAAAAGCACATACAACTTTTCGGCCACGCATAATGGTTTTTGCCAATAATGAACAAAAAAAAAAATCTGAAGAAATCGTAGAGCTTTGGCGGGCTACTAAACGCCAAAGTAGTGCAGTTGTATCAAAAAGTCGAAAAATCGACACCTTTCATAAATTTGCAAAAATAATTAAAATCTCAAAAGGAAGTAAAGGGATCATCATACTTCCAATGCGCACGTACACTTACAAAAGGCAAAGGTCGCTCTTGTCACATCTCTCCAAGCGCTCCTCATATAGGTGAATTATGGGAATTAGCTACACAAAGCATCAAATTAATTCTACTCCACGAATCGAAGCCGTTCTCCATTCATGGCCATTCTCTTGCAAGATCCCTCTATTGTCACAGTCCTAACTCCAGGGCTAAAGAGTACCCATTCTGGCCATATCTGTCCAGGCGTGGAGTTACTATCCTTCATAAGCCGAGAATAAATAAAATCCAAACAATTATCGATAATGCAGAAAAGGCATATAATAATCTACTGGTTGCCAAACTGATAAATAATAAATTCTAAATAACCGCTAATAAAATTAATAAAAGTAAACAACTTTTTTGCTATAATAATACAATAAGTCGTCAAAACACACAAAAGCATTTACTACTTGCAGCACCAATACTTTCACAAAATACAATTTGCTATTAAAACCAAAATCGCTTCTTACAGTTAATATTCTGCGGCCTCGGTTACTCCACCAACAGTAAGCAGAATTACATGCCTCAGATTATATACTATATATAAAACTAGGCAAAATATTCGCCTAGGGGGCCCAGGATGTTTAAATGAGTTAAGCATTAACCCCCTCTACCCGGCTAAACTGGCGCATCCTAATACAATAGCGCAATTCAGCACAGCTGATGACACTACAGAACAACTCACCAGACTTCTGCTCCTACTCACTAAACAAAAAGGATAGACAACAGGACACAATTTGTTCTAAACTCATCGCACATCAACTTTGTGATTGCACATTGCGTCGCGTCGACATCAACTTTATATGTATTTACATAGATCGACAACCATCCTGCGCGCTACGCTCAAATTTTAATAATAAATCATCCGGATATCCCTCGTCTATCCGACGTGGATTTTAATAGCACACTCACGATTTACTAGTATACGTAGGGAATACATTTGGCTTTTCTTTTTACATATTTTGTTATTAAATGGATAAAAACAAAATTACCTTTCTAAATTAAACTAATTTATATAAAATAAAAAGATCATATTTTCTTGCCCCCGTTCAAACACCTGCAATTATTCGAATTTTCGTAAAAAGCATGTTTGAAC